CCTCTCATCTCCAACCCCCTTGGGGGCCAGCTCCATCTGAGCAGGGCTTTGTAGCCTAGGGTTAAGGGCCTGGATTTTAATCTCAGTGCCATGAGAAGACATTGGCATGACAGTGTCCAATCTATATCATTAAAGATGGTTACAGACCGCTCCGGCGATTGTGCGTCAGAGGCCCTGGCGGTCAGGAGCAGCAGCGGTGAAGCCCTGTTACAGCCCTTGCAGGTGCTCCAGGGAGCAGGACGGTGGGCGGACGGAAGGGGTGGGTGGACTTAGACTGCACCCTGGGGAAGGGGTTGGTAGGACTTGCTGATGTGAAGGCTACAGAAAAGGAAAGAATCAAAGATAAAGCCAAGAAGATTTGGCTTGAGCAAGGGAGGGGTCGTGCCACTACTTATAGAGGTGGAGACGACTGGACATGACTTTAGGACCACAAGCGGAGGCTGAGTCAGGTGTGCTGGCTGTATGCACGGGACACTCTAGGAGCGTCAGAGGAGGAGATAAAATCTGGGGAGCGAAGGGCAAGCCTCTAAGGTCCTATGAGATTCTTTTTGGAGATTGTACAGGGAAACAAGGACATCCACTGGGGAGCCTGAGCTCTTGGAGCATTCAAAAGTGAACAAGAGGAAGAAAAGCCAATAAGAGGTGGCAAAGGATCAGTCAGAGAGGGACGGAAAAATAAGGAGGATGTGGCATCATGGATGCTGGGAGGAGAAAGCATCTCAGGAAGGACAGAGGCTGGTGATCGGGGTCCAGTGCAGCTGAGCGATCCGGTGACATAGAAACAGAGAGGTGCCCTTGAGTTTAGTAAGATCTCTGTTTCCTTTAACAGAAGGGGTCTTGGTGGCGGTGCAGGAATGGGCTGGGAAGCTCACGTGGGCAATATTTAAAATCATCCAGATGTCCTTTCTGATACAAACTGTGAGCATGTTTGTTAGCAGATGATAGTAATCTGTGGGAGAGAGAGAGTGCAGAAGAGAGAGGGGAGGTAACTGTGGGCACATAGTCCTTGAGAAGCTAGGGGCTTGGCCCCCAACAGGAGCAAGGATTTTCTCCACAGCAGCAAGGCAGGAACCAGCACACGGGTACAGTTACGAATGGGTTGATGGCTTTTATGGTGAGAACACCAAAGAGTTCCTGAGCCCTTGCTTCTGCTTTCTCAACAAAGAGGCAAAGCCATCAGCTCAGATTTGTGTCGGTGGGTGGTGCGGGGAGGACCATGGACTGCAGGAGCATTAGAGGGGAGAAGGTGTGAAGTCCCCCTTTTATGTACTGAGAGGATGGACTGACTTACCAGGTACATCATGCTCACTGGGCAAGGCTGGGGCTCATTGGAGATGGGTGGTTGTGTATTTTCACAGGAGACAAGGAAATGTTGTTGTAAGGGTTTTCTATGGCCATCCCCTGAGTGAGGCTCAGAGTTGGGGTCACCTGGGTTCATACAAGGTTGGCGTTTTGCCAGTTGTCAGACAGAAGTGCTTTCAGGGGACATCATTACAGTGCTGGACTGTGGGCTCTGAGCTGGGTGATGGGGCAGGAGAGGACCTCGGGAGGATGGCGGATGGTGAGGACGTGGCAGGGAGAGACACTGGAAGCCTGTGTGGTTAGAGAGAAGGAGGGGCAGGCAGGTGGGAGGCTGTGGACAGGCGTGGCCATAGTTGAGATGCTGTATTTTTGAGTGACTACAATGAGCCGGCGAAAAAGATCATCCTGAATCATCTCATCACACATCCAATTAGTAGCTGTGCCTGTAACTTCTGTCTCCCAACTGTCTCGGTTTTATCTACTCTCCAGCTCCATTGCCAGCGCCCAGTGCACAGTACCATCTTCTTATCTGGAGACCCTAAATGCACAGCCCACAGAGGGGTCTTTCTTCCCCAGTTACTGACTCTCCCTTTCTGCCTGCTCCTGGCAGCCAGACCATTCTTCTAACACACAGATCTGATCTGCTTCCTGAGCTTAAGGGTCTTTGACAGCGTTTGTGGGCCTCAGAATCAACTCGAGGGTGCACATACTCTGTGTGATGGGGACCTCCCACATCTCCCCAAAGGGGGCTTTGCAACAGCCAGACTGAGCCACCTTCGGGTCCTCAGATGACCATGGGCTTCTTCCCAGTGCCAGGAGAGCACATGCTGCTCTGCCCTTGCTCACAGTCAAGGTCAAGCTCTGTTAAGTGCTGTGCCCACCCCCACTCAGACCTTGGAGTTCTCATTTCCCCTGTATTTACTATTTTGTGGAGTTTTCTTTATCACTGCATCCCCAGAAACTCACACAGCTCCTGGCAGACAGTGGGCCTTCATTGATTCTTTGATGAATTCATAAAAGAAGTGTTGGCTGCTGCAAAGATCGTTCCCGAAAGTGCTTTCAGGAGGCTGCTGTCGCTGGCAGAACAAGGTGCTTTATAGCAGGACTTTCTCTTCTCATGGTGATTCTTTAGAAAGGCCATTTCAGGCTGCTATCCAACAGGTACCCAAGTAGTATGCTGTAGACATCACATCAGTGACGGATGGAATTTATTACACAAGATGCCATGCATGATATGATGAAACAATGTCTAATGTAAAATCTGCCTTCTTAAAAACAAATTCAGAGTATTGTTAAAATAAAAACCAAAGTGTAAGAAAAATAGGACAACAGCTAGAAGTGTGTAACTAAGAATACACATCAGTGAAAAAATAGCATATTTTTATTACTGATTATTTAAATCAACATGTAACATGCAAGCCATTTATCTCAAATACTGCTTTTGATGGTTTTTAAAAGTAAGTACTATTTCATTGAATCTAAGACTTTATCGATTAGAAGATACACCACCATTTTTATGCATCACCAAGAAAGGAAAACATGCCGCCAGTTAAGTTTGATGCCATGATTGCAAAACATTTGTCTGTGCCAACTCTCCACGTCCAGCAGGAAAGAGAGAGGAAGAGGAGGGAAGGCAGGCAGACAGATAGACAGAGAAGAGATTGTTTATCTCTAAACAGTGGTTCTCACGGGAGGTGATTTAGTTCGGGCCCCCCAGGGGGCATTTGGTAGTACCTATGGGCATATCAGGTGTTCCAACTGGGGTGGCGATGCTATGGAAATCTACTGGGCTGAGGCCAGGGAAGCTGCCTCACATCCTACAACAAACAGAGCAGCTTCCAACATCCAAGAATCATGAGCCCCCAAAATGTCAACAGCACCGACCCTGAGAAACAGCTCTCTAGAACAATCGTTTGCATTTTTTACCTTCCACCCTCACCTTCTGGATTTTCTTTGCTTTTTATTTCCATAGAACCTTGATCTTAAACACTGAGCCTTTTCTGAATGCCCATGTGAAAACTATAACAAAGCATTTTAGGAACAGCCAGGAATTGGAGAGATGATTTATTTCAATAAATTAACCTAAGCTCTGCTCAAGCCTACTCTAGTATAAAACAAGAAAATGCACTTAGCCACATTCTGCATTTTAATTATGCTTTCAGAGTATCTAACAGTTGTATGAATTAAGAAGCAGTAAAATTAAATTGATTCTTCCATATATGCTGAAAGATGCAGGGCTTAATGTGTGTTATAATTAGGGACAATGGAATCAATTGTGGAATTATTTTTAAGACACCAAAACCCTAAATTATGCTGAGCTGATAACCTTTTCCAGCTTGTTACTTGTTCCCTTAAAATCATTTTAACACATTTCCAAGTCCTACTTTTTGCGAGGAGCCAAGCATAGCAACGATAAAGTTGGTGCTTTGGGGAAGTTTCTTGGTGCTGTAACAGGAAACTCTGGAAATTAGAAGCGAAAAGGTTTCCATTGATCTTTTCAGTCCAAAATATGTCTGACTTGATGTGCTTGAACTTCTGAAGCATGATTCAGAAGGTGTCTCTCCACTTTAGGGTTGACCGATGAGAAAAAAAAGTCAAAAAGAATTTGTTCCTTCTCTCTCTGACTTTCACACTGATGTCATGAGGAAATATGTGAAAAGGGCTTGGGTGACTCTAAGACAGTTACGTTGTGACAGATAAGAGAATAATTTTCAATAGGAAGTCCACTAAATTCCAAGACTGAGTTGAGTGCTAACCTTTAGGTGTTGACAATGGGTCTCTGCAGGTTCGCACATTAAATACTCATCACAGACATCACATGACAGGCACGGTCACCAAAGGAGATGGTCAGCCCCGGGCAAAATCCTCGTGAGCCACCTTTGGGCACAGTTTCATGGAGGCTTCTGGCTCCAGCCCCATTTCCCCCTCCATGAAATGCCCAGAATCCACCCCACTTTTCAGGCATCCAGTGCTTGGCTTTCTGTCGTCTCACCACCGTCAAATCCTGCTTGAAAGAAACACCTTGCGCCAGATATTTAGAGGTTAGGGTGGGCCCCAAAGACGGGTCTTCCCTTCACTTGTCTTGAGGGTAAAGAGCCAACCGTGTGCTGGGAATTGTGTTAAGGAAGAGATCCATGGGTCTCAGCATTGAGCAAAATACTGGTTCAATCTTTGTTTTCCAAAAGTACCCCTCAAGCCTCTGGGTTGTGCTGGTTCCCTCAGTCAGGGGGCCTTCTGCTTTACCATCTTTTTTGAATAAATATGTGGTCTTCTGCCAAAGCAGAAGCTGTCTGGACATGGGAAGTGGGGAGGGGAGGTGCGATTGAAGTGTCTCCTAAAAGTCCAGCTGATTGTCCTCTTTTCGCTGCCACCTTCACCACATTTGAAAATAACTGTTGCCATGAATACTTGTCTGTTGAGGATCTGTTACTAAACTACCATTTTAATGGGCACCTTTCTCAGATTTACTCCATCAGTTGCTCATCGCTCAACAAAACCCTGTTGCTGTCACCTTCTCTCCCATTCTTTTTGTTCTTGGGCGCTATCTCCCAGCCTCCATGTGATGCCCCCAAAAGGATTTTGATCAAAGGTGTTGGGTCACATGCCCCAGCTCCCAGCCTGGCACTAATTTCTGTGATCTGGATTCTCTTGAGAGTTGGGTCGCCTGCTTCTCCTTGCGGAAGGCACAGTTTGATGACATGATTGACAGCTATGTGAGAATCATCCCAAGTAGAAGCTTTGCAGAGAAAGGATGTGGGCTGACAGATGGGCAGCGGATGCCCCAGACAGAGGGCAGCTCTGTCCTCCAAGAGGTGCTGATCTTGACAAGGCAAGGGTTTTCCTCCATTGCTCTGTAGTCAAAAAATGTTGGCTCCATCTCATAAACACTAGTTATCCGAGCAGAAAGCACCTCCCCTGGTGTTTTCCTCCGTTGTAAGCCTCAACAACATCTGTTCACACTCAGCGCTTCTGAATCCGCTTGTTAATGTGGATGCCCATTGGAGGGCAAGGGCAGCAGAGGCTTCCTGGAGAAATTCCACGTCCTAGAGGGAACCAGGAGGCCACCGCAGGCAGGCTCTCCCGGAGCTCTGGGCCGGGGACTTTGGGGGTGAACGTGGGAAGGAGGGAGATAACGCCCTTCCTTTATTTGAATGATTAATGACAAAGAAAGGGTGGATGACATTTGTTTCTCTGCTTTAATCTCCAACGTCCTAAAACAGAAGGAAATCTATTGCAGAAAGCTGAATTTGTGCACATTGCTTGGGCGGATGCTGTTTATTTTTGTAATGATTCCTTTTGTGTTAATCTGTGAAAAAAGGATGTCTGGATATTCAAGGAAATACTGTTATCCTTCCTAAGTGTTTAAACTCTGAGCTAAACAAACTTTTGGTTCCTTTTGAGACCTCTGACCGCCTGTGTCACACAGACGTGATTTAGAAGACAATGCTTTTGAAGGACATTTTTAATGGCAAACTTTAAATGAAGTCAATTGTTGGTAGCTCAGTGACAATGCTTGTGTTAGTGTCCTTTTCCAACTTAACAAGAACAAAAGGCCACGGCCAGACCAATTAGTCACATATGATGGGACCTGATGATATTTCTACTGCTGAACTTTTCTGGTATAAAAGGATCTCCCAGGGAGGATCTGACAGTAAGAGTGAGGAATTTAGCAATAAAGTCGCTCATCTACAGAGATTTTGGGAAATCCATAATGACTAGGTAAAAGACTGCATTTTTCCCCAAAGAAAAATATTGAATTTGTGTATGCTTTTAAATTTATATTTGCCTAAATAAGACTATTCTGAGAGTTTTTTTTTCCTACCCTGCAGCTCTTTAAAATTCAGTCTTATTCTAATTCTGTTGATTTCTACAATGCCTGTGTTCTGGTGTTATCCGGTTCTGTCTCCTAAGGTAAGAGTTTTGCCTCTCTTTTTCGATGCTTGACTAAATGACTAGAATTGTGGAGTATGTAAATTCAAAATAATCTCAAGGCATACGTGACAGAAAGTAATTTCCCTTATTATTAGAGCTTACAATGAAAAAAATATAAGTCAAGTCATGAAGTTAGTAAAAAGAAATATTTATGTGACTATAGATAATACAGCATAGATTAAAATGTGTTTTGAACTATTTAGGAGTTGGCCCTTGCATAGGAAAATATTCATTTCAATGTAAAATGTGAATTGTTTTGCCTATGACAAATTATTTGTTCCACATGCCTTCAACTCATAATCAAAGTGAACATTTAACCATTGAAAACTGTATTAAAAATGCAATGGGTTATTTTTCAGAAATAGCAAATTTCTTAATTTTACAAAGATGGCAACTTTTTCATGTACAGCATATAGGTAACATGCCGGTTCTCAATGGAATATCATATAAAATATTAATTCATATATTTACTCAAGAATATAGACTGAACTCCTAACAATATTCATTGAGCTGTTCAAGATACTCAGAAAATGAATTTCTTTGGAATTTTTAGTGCTAGTTCTGCACGGTATTTCAGTTGTTTTATGTCAATACTTGGTTTAACATTTTTAAATCTCTTTTGTCACTGATAGCATTTTCCAATTCACCTTTCCTTCACTAAAACTTAACCTGGCATACCATAATTACTGAAATCAATGTAATTTAGGAAAACACTTTTAGGATAATGAGATGCTACATGAATCTTAAATAATAAATACATGTCCAAATATAATGCTCTATTTCTCCTACGGGTCCTCTCACTAATCTTTGCATCTGTCACTTTTCTATTTCTTGTTTATTGACGCCAGCTTCTTTTTCCCTGTTTTACTCCCACAAGCATTCCCTACCGATTCAGTCATTGATTCTATAAGACGCCGCATTGATCATGTTGATGAGTCACAATCCACAAATCAGTGCATTTTCTCGAATGTCTTCCTAATTACTTTCTATTCTTTCCCCCGAAGTTTTGTTCATGACAATTCTGTTGAACAAGAGGCACTTGTGAGCAACTTTTTTTTTAAATTAAGAGTGTTCTTTCTTCCATTGTTCTTATCAGATCTCCTTGTCCATAAATGAATGTCTGTTCCTTCAAGGCATTTTCCATGTTTCTAATTTTTCATGTGACAGTTTTGTTCTTGTTATAACCCCATCCTGTAGTAATGGTGCCAATTCGACTCTTTAGGGTGAGTGATTATGCAGACCAAGGACGTATAGGCTTCTATAATACTTGCTGAGAACTTCATAAACTTTATCAATCAGGCAAATACAGCATATTATTCAGTTAACAAGTCTGCTCGATGAGGGGTTCCTTCATTGATTAGCAAAGTGCATCAGTATCTTTTTGGGGATGTTTAGTGATGTTTTGGGGATCTCATAACTAGAACTGCATGCTTTATTTCTCCAATATAAAGGTGATATCATGAGAATTTCTGGAAAGAACTGTAGACTTGTGATTTCATTGCTTGAAATGACTCATAGGCCCCTCCTTGCTGGGCATTTAAAATAGATGGCATTATATCACACTTAGAGCACCTTTGTTAACACAGGTAAAACACTAAGGATAAGAATTATTGACTGGTTTTCCCATGACCAATACTTCTGGAATTCTCTGACTCTTCCCAGATGTCTCGACTCAAATCCCTGCTGTATCTGCAAGCCATTTAATTAATTTCCTCACTTAAAGGAAATTATAACTGAGTAAACAGTAGTACCTACTCCACAGAGCTTTCTGAGGGGACACAATGAGGTGATGCCCATAAAGCATGTGCACAAAGAAGACCACCGATTGCCCCTCTGCTCTTGTACTCGGCTTCTTCATCTGCCAAGCCTGGGGTTCAACTGCAGGTTCTCGATGGCCAATTTGAACTCTCAGACTCCAGTCTTATCTCTTCCGTGACCAAGCCTCCCCTACACTATCCTACATTATCCAGGCCACTGAACCCCTGATGAGGAGGTAAATCAAATTGAAAAGACAAAGATGTCAACTTTCAAGTTCAGGTAGAAAGACATCCTCATGGAGAAACTTGGCAAATGGCCCAGGACAGGCCCCAGAAGGAAAGTGGTTTCCACTGACACCTGGAGTTTTGCCATCATAGGTTGTTTTTCTTAGCGAATTAAAAAAAAAAACTATCCCCAAGACTAATTAGTACCACTTGAAAGATTCTTTATAAAGTAATAGCGACAAGATAACTGCACCGTGAATGATAAAATACTGAATAGCAGTAATTACAGAAGTCGTGTAAAAATTTGACAAGGGGAGAGACAGCTCCAAATAGCATTCTGTATTTTGGTAAAATACATAATGTGTTTTAGCAAATCCCTCCCTAAGTATTAGATACACTGGATTTATTGCCATGAGATTTTGAAAATTGCTACTATTGAAATAAGCTTTTAACCCTAAAGCTGTGTTCCCTCCCTCCTCCCCCATCTCAATTGTCAGGGGTCTGGAAAATCTGACTACTTTCTCATCCTGCTGAACAGCCGCCCAACCAGGATGGACAGGAGCGAGACACTAGATTTTCTACAGCCTGTGTTGGAGAAGGTGTCTGTGAAAAGGTCCTTCCGCAACGGAGTTGGCACAGGGATGAAAAAAACTTCCTTTCGAAGAGCAAAAACATGAATAAGTGTGCAAAGGACTCTGGGAATTAATCTCAAACTTTGTCTAGTGTGACTAACGTGCTGCAGGTCGGTTATATCTTTTTCACTAAGTAATGGTCTGCTCTTGGTTCTTAAAAGTCTTTTCTCTCCGTGTTGATACAGAACAAATTAAGCTAAAAAAATGTAAACCTGGGTCAAACTTTGACTGTGAGAGAATAAAATATTTTATGTGATCAGTGAGCAACTTTCCCGAGTAGGGAAGAGCACATTTGCTTTGATCTTAAGTTGGCCAGAAAGTATAAACTTTTTACTATAATGACAATGGTATGTTTTTTTTTCCCTGCCTGTAATACTGTAAAATCATAATACTGAATATTTTTCTTTTAAATGTGGTTTTCGGAAATGACTTAGCAGGGCCAATGTTTTTGGGATGTGTTATTTGAGCTTCCAAGAGAGTCTTGTGAAATAAACCAAAGTTAAGATTCATGACACAACTGCATTTTCCTCGATCGGTGGATACCAGAAACAAAACTTCACCCGAACCCTCTGAATGTGACTCTTGCCACCCTTTTCCACCAAATATATTAGACCCGGCTTATTGTTTGTCTCCGAAATTCGTCTTCTTTTTAAAGCTTAAAACTTAGAAATATTGCCAGGAACAATAAAGACAACAGAGCGATTGCTGGTAGCCCAGAAGTGGCGCAGAGTGGGGGGCGCTCTCTGTGAGTCGCTCCCCAGAACTGTGCTGATGGAAACCCCGCCCCCCCACTCCAGGAAAGACCTGGCACCCCCCCCCACTGAAATTCTCGTGTTACTTTCTTTAAAAGGATAATGCAAAATTGGCTATAAATGATGTGTTATTAATCTCTGATACATGATCTCAGTTAATAAATGTGTGTGTGCATGTTCAATTTTGCAGCACACCAAGGGCATTCTTACGAAGAAAACTGTCACACTTTCCACTTTACTGGTATAGATACAGATGAAGTGAAAACGTCCTAATGAGTTTTAGGACTCGGGACCCATTTGTCCTATTGCTTTCTGTCCCTGTGTTCCTGGCCTTTGTTCCCATGAGGGCAGCTTTAGAAATCTAACCAACTGGCCGGTGGCAGCTCCACTCTCTTATCCTCCACTGCAAGCCTGGATTCTCCACTGAGCATCTGGAAATGCCAGGAAGGAAGTCATCCCTTAGTGATTTCCTGCCGGCATACAGGATCTGCTGTGCTAGAAGCCTTAACGTGTGAGATGTAAAGTGCTCCCAGTATACTGGAAAATCTGACAGGAAGATTGTCAGAGAAATTGATACTTTTTATCTGCCTAGCATTGTTGGTGGGGGAGCTAATTAGATGGCCCAATAGATATTATTTACTCCTGAAAAGTTGAAAAACAGATACTGCATTAATAAGCTCATGGTAAGCATGGTGTCGACTGGGCATCTCGTGCAGGGAGGAGAAAGGTTTTTACTGTAGGAGAATCATCCTAATTTTCTATTTGCATTTATATGGATTGGCTGGAATAATAAAACACCAAAAACATAATTGGAAAAATTCTCTCCCCATTTCTGGATTTGAAATCTCATTCTAACCTTGGGGGGAGAAAGGCCGATGAGAAAGTATTTGCACTCTAAAAATCGTAGCAGAGGAAAAGCTGGTGGGTAGGAAATTTCCTTTCTGAGAAAAAATTGAACCTCTTGCTAAGGATTCAGGAATAAAGTGTTTAAGATAAAAAAAAAGTGGTGTTTAGATAGTGTCATTAGAGAGGTGATCAAAGGCTGACCATGTAAACCTCTGGAGAAAGTGAACCCAAGGCAATGCAGTGCCTGAGTGGCCAGTGAGTCACATTCACTCATTGGCACCAGTTTCTGCAGGGTCATGAGCAAGGCTGCCTCTTTCAAGGCTTCACACAAAATGGCCTTGGTTCACAGGTAATGAGAAGGTCACCAGATGTTAGTGACCCATTGCCCTTCCTTTTGTTCCCAGGGGGTGTTGTCAGAGGCCTGAATTTCACCTTTAGAGCTAAAAGCCTCAGCCAAGGTGTTAGGAGCCCTCGAATGCAAGCATCCCAAGGGATGAAACACTGTGGGTTCATTTTGATCAC